GGAAGGGCTGTGTGCCCGGATGTTAGTCTGCACATGGATATTTCCTTGGTGGAGGACCGATAAACTTTTACCTTTCATGATGGATAATGAAGTAATAGTAATAGTAAAACTGAAAAGTCCAGGAGAACAAGATACAAAAACAGAGCTGAGAACTATGGATGTCCCCAGCACGGCAGAAAGAAATGACCTGCTGAGTTCGATCCCTGGTACCAAAAAAAAGAGAAAAGAAAAAAAAAAAAGAAAAAGAAATGACCTGCCCTAGAACAGTTGAAAGAGTTGAAAGCGGGGCCTTTGAGGAGCTGGAGATTAGGAGCAGGAAGGAGCAGAAAAAATTTTAAAACAAACTTCATCTGACTCTTTAACCTGTCTAAATATAACTTGAGTTAAAAATATGAACAAAAATTTAGAAAGCATGGCAGTAGGAGGCCTTTGAAAGGCGTGTCAGGGAATTTCTCTTAATATATTGTGAAGTTTCAAGAGATGGTTTTGAGGAGTTTAGTGTCCTGAGCTGTTTTTTAAAGAATGCCCATGGGAGGGTGCCGCTGGGAGCTCCTTGTTGCCTCTAAAGCCACATGGAAAGGTTTTTAGCAGAGGAGTTGCCCAGTGTCACCCACACCAAGCAGACAGCTCCCTACTGTCAGTTTGAACATAGCCCTTGGGAGAAGGAACCCACCCAGGTCCAGTTCTGCCCATGTGGCGACCTCACATCTGCTGCCCTGGGTGGGCTGGACAGCAGGTCCTTAGGGGCCACTCCAGGCCTTGTACCTCAGTTTCCTCCCATGTATAGTGGACTCATCGTAATACTCAGTCACTTTGATCATGGGAATAAATGAGTTACTATACGTATTGGCATAGAGTAGTGCTTGGCGGTAAATCTGTCAGCAGCTTGTACTAATGTTCCAAAGGCTATCAACCTCTTTAGCTTTTTATTTTGGAAAAAAAAAATTTGTTTTTGGAGACAGGGTCACAGTATGTAATTTAGGCTGCCCTAGAACTTACTGTGCAGCCCAGGCTGGCTTCGAATTTACAGCAATCCTCCTGCCTCAGCCTCCCAAGTGCTGGGATTACAGGCATGTGCCACCACACCCTTCCTGAAAACAATTTTTAATTCTACAGAAGTCAAGAGAGTAATAAAAAGAATTGCCTGGCCAGGGATTTAGCTCAGTGGTTCCGCCGCCTGCCTCGCAAGTGCAAGGACCCGAGTTCGGTGCCAATATCAAAAAAAAAAAAAAAGAATTGCCTTATCTATTTTTAATGTTGTGCCACATTTGCCTTTTCTGTTTCCATTTATGCATATTATAATGGATATATTGTCAATCTCAGGAATGTTGACATTTATACAACAGTAGCACATAACGTAGCATCCATTTTTAAATTGGGCCAGTTGTTTCACCACTGTCTTTAAAGCAGTACATCCCTTTGCCCAACCAGGATCTAACCTAATCCTTTTAGTCACATCTACTGAGTGAATCTCTTGTAGTCTGGTGCAATCCTTTGGCCCTTTCTTTGTCTTTCCTAACTTTGATGTTTTTGTTTTCTTTTTGAGATGGGGTTTCATTGTGTTGCCCAGGTCAACCTTGGACTCATGGGCTCAAGTAACCCTGCGTCTTGGCCTCATAAGTGCTGGGACAGCCAGTGTGTGTCACCACAGGCGACTGACGTGGACATTTTTGAAGTTATAAAGACACTTGTTTTACAGAATGCCCTGGATTTTTGTTTTCTGATTTTCTTTCTGATTAGATTCAGGCTGTGCAGCAGGGGCGATGTTAACTCCCTTCCCCTGGGGAGGTGAGGTTCTGTGTAGCTAGTAAGTAATCTGTGAGGGGAGCCCTTGACACTGTGCATGTGGGACTCGTTCCACGGCATATTTTTAACCAATGGTTTGTGTGTTTATCAAGCGATGACTCTTGACCACACTCCTAAAGTTCAGCCACAGGTCAGAATCTTGACTTAGGTAAACACTAGAGTTTGTTTTGGGCCTGCCAGTGGGAAACAGCATTGAGCAATATATTGATTTTTATCAAAGAGGTTTTATTCCATCTGGAACATAGATGCTCTTCCTGGGTTTAAAGTCCATGGAAAGTCTGGATTCATTTATTCATTTGTCCAATAAATATTTGTTTAGTGCTTACCAAATGCCAGGTAATTGTTCAGGTGCTAGAGGTAGGAGGTAAAGAGAAACAAACCAAATCGCTTCTTCCTGGAAGTTACCTTTCCTGGGGGAGCCAGGCAGTAAACCTCTGCTGTGTTGCCAGGTGGCACTGGGGGAAGACACAGCAGGGTGATGATGGGGACAGAGGGCTGCTTTAGCCAGGGCTGTCTGAGCCTGAGCAGCCTTGAGACCAAGTGTGGCGGGGAAGTGACAAGCATTTTCCTAGCAGAGGGTTCGCCTGGCAGCCCAAGCAAGGCACAGAGAAGGGCGTATGCTTGATGCCTGGTGGTGGGACAGTGGGGGTTGGTATGGCTGAAACAGGCATCAGGCAGGCAGCTCAGAGGAGAGGGGGTGAAGTCTCAGGGCCTTGTAGACTGTGGAGGGGAGCCCCCAGCCCTGACCAAAGCATGCAGAGCTCCCCATGGAGTCTTGGAGAAGCTGAGCTTCTGAGGAATGAGGGACTCTGGGCAGGTGCCACCTGCGGGGACCAGCTGAGCACCAGCTGGTCATCTCAGGAAAGGAAGCCAGCAGGAGTGAGCAGCTGAGCCGTCAAGCCTCTAGCTTGTCTCACTGCCCAGGGTAAGGGCAGGAGAGGGCGGGTTTGGTGAGATGCCTGTTTTCCTGCAGCCTGGGTGGCTGGGCAAGTTCTCCACAAGCCCGAGCAGACCAGGGCTTGTTCGTAGGCCACTGGGACAGCCAGGGAGCCCTAGGCTGTCAGCCCAGGGTCCAGTTTCTCCAGTATCAACTGCACTTCTGTTCCGGGGAGTTCCACTGCCTGGATTGTGTCTCCTCCACCCAACACAGGCATTGGAAGGCACAACAACGAGTGTTTATAGAGCACTTTTCTGTACATGAAACAAGCAATTTTTAAATAAATGATTTCCACCCACTAACTCATTCAGTTCTCATACCAGCCCTGTAAGACAGATGCTGTAACTGTTACCCCAGGGTTATACAGATGAGGAAAGTGAAGCAACAGAGAGGCCTGGCCTCTTGCCCATAGTTGCACAGCTGCTAAGTGGAGAGCAAGGCTTTGTACCAGGCTGACTAGCTCCAGAGTCACCGTTCTCATCCACCAAGTTAAACTGCAGCTACCTTGAGATTTTCCTCAGGTCACTGCAAGGCTGGTACCATTCCATCCATTTCAGGCAGTCTTCTGCCTCTTGAGAACTCAGTGTGCTTGACCTCTAACCATGGGCCTGTGACCTTGAGGTAGTAGAGAACAAGGAGGAATAAAAAGCGAGAAACAGTTTTTTGCTGCTGCCCAAAATATGAGGGGGCCCAGGGATTCCCAAGAAGAGGGGTGACATTTATGTGGTGTCCCTGGTGATCCAGATAGCATGTTTTATTTAATGTGAACAACAACCCTGTGAGGCAGTTTTGTGACCTCCCTTTGACAGGTGAGGATGCTGACACTGTAAGAGGTCACATGCCCAGGGTCACCTGGCAGTGAGGGTGTCACACAGCTGCTCCATCCACAGCCTCCCAGCAGCTTCAAAGCTGCTTTCCACTGTGCTGCCTTGCCCCCAAGCTGATGGACCAGGACATGGGATGCTCATCAGAAATCGTGTGCTTGGAATATCACCTTTGTACAACCCTTCTGGGTTTGGAAGAAGAATGGGCCCTGAAGCAGGCTGCTGTGTTGAAAGAGCACTGGCTTTAGGGTAAGGCAGCCTCAGTCCCAGTCTTGCCTTTGCCATGTCTCCAGCATGGCCCTGGGTGAGCCAGACCCCACCTCTTCTCGCTCACCCATGGAAGCGGATTAAAATCACGTGTGTCCGCAGACTAAATGTAAAAGTGTGGGCTGGTAGTTCTTAGCTGGATCAGGAGGGTGGTGGTAAGTGGAATTTTTCGGGACGACAGGTCTGAACCCCAGGGTAGGATTCAGAAGGGGGAACATGGGGCTTTTGGCAAACATCTCAACTGATTTTGAAACACTATTTTGCCATTTTCTTCCCCTGTCCTGTGTTGAAGCTCTCTATATAAATGTTAGCGTAATGGCAATGGTCGTACCAGATGTTATAAAAATAGGGGAAATAATTTAACCACAAGCAGGTGGTGTTGGACCAGAGCACTAGCCTAGAATCTGATTAGGAAAACTACAGATTTCCTTCTGATTGAAACCTCTTTCTCTCCTGGAGCAGTTCTGCCCCCCGGGGCTGTTTGGTAATGTCTGGAGACTGGCTGTCATTCTGAAGAGAGGTGCTGCTCACATCCACATGAAGCCTAGAGATAGCGCTAAAATGGTCCTGCTGCCGTGCCAGGGCAGCCCCACCTCGCAGTCATTGGCAAGACCTGGACCCGAGGTTGAGAACCCTGGGTTACTCAGCCAGCGCTTTCGGTGTTATTGTATGTCAGGCATTGTTCTAAGTGCTACAGAGGTAATTAACTCCTTTCATCTTCCCAGTGTTGTGACATCGGAGCTGTTATATCCTCATTTGGCAGATGAGGACCTTGGGACACACAGAGGTTAAATAACTGGACCAGACTCCCACCTGGGGCCAAGGTGCCCCTTGGGAAGAGTAATGAGCAGGCAGAGCCAGGACTTGAATTCAAACTGGCTGGCTCCAGAGTCCACACTGTGGCCTACTGCCCTGCCCTCCTTAAGGGGGCTCACAGGCTCTAAACCCCACTTTCAGCTTTAAGCCCAGAACCCATATACCTAGAAATTTGCCCATGGGAAGAGTTAGAGACCTTTAGTCCATGCCTAGAAGGGACTAGGGGGAGAGCTAGGGCTCCAGGACCTGGGACTCTCTGTGAAAACCTTGTTTTCAGGTTTGGGATGTGTCTGAACTGTGGCTTCAGTGGGTTCTGCTTTCCAGTCACAGGCTGTGCTGTGTTGTTGCAGAGGTAAAGACAACTGTGGTGTACCCCGCTACGGAGAAACACCTGCAGAAGTACCTGCGCCAAGACCTCCACCTGATCCGAGAGACGGGAGAGGACTATAGGAACATCATCTTACCCCACCTGGAGTCCCAGAGCCTCAGCATCCAGGTGATCGGCTGCCGAGTCCTTCCTGTGCCTGGTTTCTCTCCCTACAAAGCATTGTTGGTAGCCAGGCAGTGTGGGGATAGCAGAGAACCCGATAAACCAAGTCCCTGCCCCATGGAGCTGACACAGTCAGATAGTGAACAGTTACCAAAGGCCCTTAAGATGCATGAGATTGTGAGTGCAGTGAAGAAAAGCAGACAGGGTCTGTGGGACAGAGAGTCCCAGGGAGGGCTGGTTGAGATTTTATATGGGATGCTCAGGGCAGGCTTCTGGGAGAAAGGGATTGATCCTGATGTTGGGCCCCTCGGGAGGTTGTTGTGGGGGCCACTGAAGCTCTCAGGGATCTCTGAGCAATCTGGCCTGCAGAAAGAGTTTGAATCTGCTCTGTAGTGCATCACTGGCCTGGAAGAGATGAGAGTTCCAAGCACAGTCGTAGCCCTATAGTAGCCCTGACGGTCTCAGAATGACTGTGCCGTGGCCAGAGGCCAGTGAACAGATAAAAGTCCGGTATTGGGTTAGGATCGCCTTGGTCCAGCCTCATCCCCGGAATTGCCTACCAAACCAGCCTGAGGAACCTGAGCCTTGAGTAGAAACTTTACTGCCATGGGGTTCTGCGCATTCACCCACAGCCGCAGCACTCTGTGGTCGAGGTGTGTTTGGGGGGCCAGGGTGGCAGAGAGCTCTGGCTGAGTCAGATGCAAGGCTGCTTACCACAGGGATTCTAGGGCTCCTTGGGCCTAGGCCTGGTGCCAACTAGAGCCTCTGCTTGGAATTGGCCCTGTGTGGACGCTTAGAATTAAGTATGATGGATGCTTATTGATGAGTCTTCCTTGCCCACTCACTGGCTCTTACTGGCTCCTCCTCATTATCACCGCTCACTCTTGTTCCCATGAGCACTTCTCCTTCCCCTCCCCAAGATCAGGTTCCCGAGGAGGCAAGTGTTCTGATGGAGAACCCACACTGTCCTACCCTGACCTGGAAGATGCCAGGGTGCTGCTGTGAGAGTGCTGCAGGCCAGCTGTGCCAGGGAGGAGCAGAGAGAGGAGGCTGGTAGGGCCAGTGGAGGGCTGTTCTGGGGGCCTGTGTGCTGACAGCCCTGTCCCAAGGGTAGGATTCAGCCTGCTTGTTAGCCGTGGCCTCCCTGTGCAGCATTTGCACAAGGTTTCTTGGGCTCAAGCTGCCTTGGTCTCTTTTTTTTCCCCTTCTTTTTTTTAAGTCCCAGTACTTGTTCTGTCTTCTGAGTGGAAGGAAGTTTGTCTCTGCATTTTTAGACAGCTCTGCTCACAGTCCTAAAGAGATCTGCCAGGACTTACGTTCTATGGTGCTGGTTGCACATGTCTGGAATTCAAGAGAGGAAGTGCTAATATGTGGGAGACAGGGTCTCACTGTGTACCCCAGGCTGGCCTAAAACTCACAGTAGCCCAGGCTGCCTCTTGCCTCCCAAGTGCTGAGATTATAGGCATGTGTCATCACACCCAGCATATACTGTAGCCACCTTATTGTGTGCCATTACACAGTTGGACTTAGAAATACACAACAAAAACTCTACTGCTGTTTCAGCTCCTGATTAACATGAGCAGCATTCATATGTGTTCCTTCTTGCATATTTGTAACAAGTATAAGCACATAGTTTAACTGGCTGTCACTGGGTTTATATTGGACATCTGCTTTTTTTTTGGGGGCCTGGTACACCTGTGTAATGAAAATGCTGGTGCCCTCACAGTTAAGCAAGTCCAGAGGCACAGGGAGCTGGAATCATTGCACGATTTCAGGGAACTGCATGGACTTTGGTGTGATGGGAACACAAGATACAGGAAGACCAAAGGAGACAGCCCTGTGAGGGCAGGCAGGGGCCAGGAGGAGGACGCTGTCCACGAGGTCACAAGCTCCCAAGCCCTGCTAATTGTCAGAGTGGCCTGGGGCAGCAGGAAGCTCCATTCCCTGTTTTTTCAGTCTGGCCCTTCAGAGAGTGGAGCTACCATATGCATTTATGTTTTGGACAGTCAGCAGATCTCCGGGTGATTGCTGTAGGCAGTGACGGTCTGCTGAGTGGTTTTCAGACTTGGATAATGTCGGATTTATAGGATCCTTTGGGGCAGGAGGACTGCAAAGCAGCATGGATCTGAACCAGGTCGAGACAGCAGGGAAGGATCAGTAGCAGTGAAGAGGTGAGCTGGGCTGGGCTAGAAGGGATTCGGAACTGGTTGACCTGGAGAGGGAGGGAAGAGTGTGGGGTGGCCCTAGGCCAGCTTAACCAGGATGGGGACATGGATGATGGAGTGATCTGTTGAAGACACCAAGTCCAGGTGGGGGTTATTGAGCTCACCAGGTGCCGGGACCTGTTCTAGTTCCCGCTTCCTCATCACCTCATTCAGTCTTCACAACAGCCCTTTTGGAGATTGAGAGTCACAGCTCTGTCTGGCCTCGGTATCTATGTGGTTAGCCGCAGTGCTCTTTGTTTCCTCGGATTGAAGTGCTTGTAACTTCTGAATAAAAATGAAGTGGAGTTGGGTACAGTGGCACATACCTGTAATCTCAGCTGCTGTGGAAGCTGAGGCAGGAGGATCACAACTTTGAAGCTAGCCTGGGCAACTTAGTGAGACCCATCTCACAATAAAATTAGAAAAAAAACTTGGGGCTGGGCATGGTTGGGTACACCTGTAATTCTAGCACTCAGGAGTCTGAGGCAGGAGTAGCACCATGAGTTTGATGCCGGCCCTGAATTACACAGTGAGACCCTGTCTTATAAAGAAAAAGAAAAGAAAAGAAAAAGAAAAGGGCATGGGGCATAGCTCAGTGATACAGTGCTTGGCTAACATGGGCAAGGCTCTGGGTTCAATCCACACCCCCAGTGCAGTTGAATATCTAGATCTGACGCCTTCAGGGCTGTCCAGCTAAAAGTCTCTATTTGTGAGCTGTCACATCAGGCACCAGCAAGAGCCCAGTGTTTGGATTTTCATTCTACAAGAGCAGTGTGGCATTGCCTTTAACTGCAGAGTCCTGGGTTCCTTGATTGGAAAATGTGATCAACAGCCCTGGCTCCTGGGGCTGTGGCAATATTGAGAGGCACCATTTATCATGTGCCTGCAGTTGTTTCTGGCACAAAACAGGCTCCGGGACAGAACTGCCATGATACACACCAAGGTAAACCGAGGAACAGGCACGGTGCTGAGTGGAGCCCCCTAGGAGGTGTGGACAGGTGAAGCGTGGCTCGAGAGGGCAAGCCGGGCAAGCACAGTGGGGATGGGAGGAGAACGAAGAAGGATAACGTGGACCATGGGAGGGCAGGAGGAAAGAGGGCTTTGAGGGAGTTGCCAGTGCCACTGGCTACTACTGCCTCTGGCCAGATGTGTCCTAAAAAGTGTCACATGCAGCGCCATTGTCAGCCAGACTGCTGGGATCCCCAAGGCTGGTTTTCAAGTAGCGACACTCCCATTACCAAAGTCAGTGTGATTTTCATGCATTCATTCCCTTCCCCTCCTTTTCTGGGCTTCTAGCCACGAGACTTCTGTGGGTGCGGTCACCCAGGGCCTCCCCAGGAGGCAGAATATGGTGGGGCCCAGAGCATGGGCTCACGAGCGCAGGGTTGGAATTGTGCAAGCCTGTGTGCACTTCTTTGCACCTGCATTTTTCTTACCTGCAAAATGGAGAAATAGCCAGGTGCAGTGGCACACGTGTGTAATCCCAGTACTCTGGAAGCTGAGGCAGGAAGATTGTTGTGTGTTCGAGGCCAGCCTGGCCACATAGTGAGTTCAAGGCCAGCCTGAACTACATAGCAAGACCCTGTCTGAAAAGATTAAAATATTAGGGCCGGGGATGTAGCTCAGTGGTTCTGCCTCCTGCCTCACAAGCGCAAGGTCAATCCCTGGTACCAGAACAAAAATTAAAATTCTAAATGGCATGTGTGTGTGTGTGTGTGTGTGTGTGTGTGTCTGTGTGTCTGTGTGTCTGTGGGTGTGTGTGTGTGTAGGGTTGCTCTTGCTGTCCTTATACCTGTCTGGCCATCACTTGGCCTCTGTCTTAGTCACTTTCTCTGGGCACAATAACTGACACTTGCAATTTAAAAAGAGGAGAAATTTAATTTTGCTCAGGCTTTTAGCAGAAACAGCGTGGCAGAGGGGCATGCCAGAGGAAAGGTGATTAACCCATAGCATCCAGAAAGCAGAGAGAAGAAAGGAAGTGGGGACCAGAATACACCCTTCCAGGGCATGCCCCCTCCTCACAGGAGCATCTGGGGGCACATTTTAGATCTAAACAACAATAGCCCCATCCTCACACTCCTTCTCCAGCACACCTCTGCTCTCGCCTGCTTGCGTTCCTTTCCTGGGGTAGCTAGTCCTTTCCATACGGGGATTGAACCCAGGGCTGCCTTCACACTGAGCTACATCCCCATCCCATTTTTAAAATTTCGTTAAAAATAATTTTTTTAAGTACGTGTTTGTAGTGCATAATGTTTACACTCCTTGTATGGAGTCAGTACATGTACATATAACAGGTCCTAATTCCTTTTATCTCTTTTTCCTCTTTCCTTACCTTCTCCCTCCCTCTGTCTCTTTGTCCCCTTCCCGTTTGAGAAAGATCCAACCTTTTCTGTTTTTGTTTTGAGACAAGGTCTTGCTCCGTTGCCCAGGTTGGACCTCAACTTGCCATCCTTCTGCCTCAGCCCCCCAGAGTGCTGAGATTACAGGTGTGCGCCTCTCAGTGGAGCTTCCAAGCACCTAGCGCTGTTGCTTGTAGGGTGCCTCCACCATACTGGTCTCTTGGCTAGGTGCTTTTGTGTGCATCTCTGTTAAAGTCCTCACTATAATCCCCCAATGTAGGTTTTCATTGGCCCCATTTTATGAAGGAGGATTCAGTTGCTTGCCCAGGGTGGCAGCAAGTCAGTGGAGGAAGTAGGAGATGAAACTAAATGTCACGAGGCTTGGAGGCCCAGTCTCATGTTGACTGCCAGCTGCTTTTCGTGGGAGGTGGTGCCCGGCCGTGGGCAGGGATGGCGAAGGAGCCTGCTGGTGGGGAGCCCCACTCTGCCTCCTTCCCCTCTGTTCCTGGGAGGCTTTAGATCAGCTTCCAAGAGCTTTATTTTTTTCTCCTGCTGCGCTTTCCCAGAAAGGTCTCTGGTGGGAGAGGAAATGTCTCTGTAGAGTCATGGCCCATGAGTTGTGCGTGATGCTGGCCTTGGACACTGTGCGAGGAAGCCACCATCAGGTGTCCTGCAGGCCTCTCCCAGGAAGAGCTTGTCCAGGAAGGGCACCCATTCTGTGGTGAGTGGACCACATTGTGACCGGCCTATAAGGTCCGTTTAGGGGGCCTGGAGACCCTCTGGGCCAAAATGCCTCCTGTGAGGAATTGCAGGGCATGGAGAGGCACAGATATCCACGGCAAATGTCCTCTGCTCCCTCCCTCCAGGCTTGGGCTAGGAGGTCTACATGCCCTGGGCCAGACTCCTGCCCCTGGCCTCAGGACTCGGCCTATGCCAGCACCTCGGGGAGTGGGAGGAGTACTGTGATGGTCTGGTTCTGTTGGTTCTCTGACCCCCCCCCGTGGCAGACTCCTCTCCTCCATTAGAGCGTTTGGAGGTCCTTCTGACTTGGAGGAGGAGGAGACACAGTGGGGGCCCAACTGCTTTCCTGTCCAGGTTCCCAGCAGGTTTCTCTTTTGGATGTAGAGTGTTCACACTGCACTGGGCTCACAGAGCTGGGGAACACAGAGAAGAACCAAGTGTTCCTGGGTTTAAACTCTGCAAGCCCCACCTCCGTGCAGTCAGGCTTCCTCAAAAAAGCCCTTCAGACTGTCCCTATAAAGTGATATCCTTGGGATACACACAGGGTTGGGGAAGCATCCTCCTAAGACTTCCCTGAGTCCTGTGGGCAGTGTGGGGTCAGGGCTGACAAGGCCCGTGAGTGCACAGCAGAGCAAGTGCTGACCTGGAAGAGCTTACAAGGCCCAGCCTGGGCTGAGCTGCAGAGATGCCTGGGCTGACTGTGGGCTGAGAGCCACTTGTGATGGGAGAGGGGGAGTTTCTTCTAGACGTGTGAGCAGATGCTTGGGGACAGCCAGCCTGACTGGATCTGTAAGCTAAGCAGTCTTTTATAAGCCAAGTAGAAGAGACAGTGAGCTTACCCGGCCCATTTTGCGAACCATCTCTCTCCTCCTTTCCAGTGGGTATATAACATTCTTGACAAGAAGGCTGAAGCTGACCGCATTGTTTATGAGAACCCAGATCCCTCTGATGGCTTTGTCCTCATCCCTGACCTCAAGTGGAACCAACAGCAGGTAAAGATTATGCTCTGAAGTGCTCTGGTCTCTGCCCAACCTGCTCCAGGTTGCTGGCCTCCTCTGGCTGCCCTACTTTCTCACACTGGCCTCTCTGAACAGAGTATAATTACCCAGCACAGGGTGGCCTGAGCTCTCCATTATGACAGACTATATACCTGCTATACATAAATGCTTTGACTTTCGTGGTCAACTGAAAGCTCTTTCTTGTTCTGAGTAACTCCCCACAACTGGGGTTATATAGGCCATTCTGTAACCATCCTGGTGACTAGGGCTGCCTACTTTGCTTCCAGCAGCACCGGAAGCCCCAAGGGACAGTGTTTACATTCTCTCCATCCCCCTTGACACCAGCGGACCTGGGCAGGCCTGTGTTCCAAAGTGCTGGCAGGCAGGAGCCATGGTGACCGAGTCAGGGAGTCCCTACACAGCCTGAGCTGGGTTTCCAGCAGTTCAGACCTCCACTCCAGCCTCTCAACTCCCTGTTCCTGCCCTCCAAGCACGTGTCCCCATCCCCTGCAGCTTGCTCCTGCCTGGTCCACCCCCAGAGAAGGAATGGGACAGGCTCTGCAGGTGGTGGAGGAGCTGTAGGAGGCCCCAGAATTATAACTGGACTCCTGACCTCGTAGTGGCTCTGTGTATCCCCATCAGTCTCCTCAAGCAGATTTTTTTTTTTTTTTACCCTGGTACTAGAGATCAAACTCAGGACCTTATGCTTGTGAGGCAGGTGCAGCAACACTGAGCTAAATCCCCAGCCGCTGCTTTGATTTTTTTGGAGACAGCATCTCATTATGTGTAGTTCGGGCTGACCTTGAACTCACTGTGTACCCTCTTTTGTGCTGGGGTTACAGGCGTGTGCCACCACGCCCGGCTCCCTCTGGCAGGTCTTGAGTCAAAGCCTGGTCATGGGAGATGAGCCCTGAGTAGAAGGACTATCTGTCTCACAAACTCCTGTAGACTGGAGTTTGTAACTGCAGAGGATGCAGCCCAAGGGCCAGGAAGCCAATAGAGATGGAGTTGAATATCTCCATTCCAGAAGCATAGAATGGATCTGAGCCCATGGTGCTGCTGATGGAAATCTTTGAGATCAAAGGCTGGCAGGTATCTGTCTGGCCTGCCAATGGGACTCCTCCCTCCCTATCCTCTTTAAGACTGGAAAGACAGCAGGGCATGGTGGTGCGTACCTGTAATCCCAGCACTCGGGAGGCTGAGGCAGGATAATCACTGGGAGTTCAAGGCCAGCCTGGGCTATGCAGTGAGTTCAAGCCAGCCTGGACTATATGGCAAGATCCTGACTCAGAAAACTAAGAAAAGAAAAGAAAGGAAAAAAAAAAAGAAAAGAAATGGAAAAGGCTTTGGCAACTCCACTGAGCCCTCAGCTCTCAGAGATTTTAAAGGGGCTGGCCTAAATTGTCAGACTATGCCTTTATAGGTCTTTGTTTAATTCTTGCTTGACTTTTTTTTTTTTTTTTTGGTACCAGGGATCGAACTCGGGTCCTTGCGCTTGCACAGCAGGCGGCGAAACCACTGAGCTAAATCCCCAGCCCTATTCTTGCTTGACTTTTAATGATGCCATAACTTCAGTGCCTCAGATCCTTGACTTGTGACAGCACTAAATTTGATTACTCTCTTAGAAGTTGGCAATGTATCCAGGAGGAAGACAGGCCTTATCTTGGCTTTTGTTCCTTATTCCAGGGCCAGGGAAAGATTATGAGGCGGATGCTTCAGTATTTGCTCTGAGAAGTCTTACTGGCACCCTTAAGTCTCCTGCCACTTCTTTTTTTTTTTTTTGGTACTGGGGATCGAACTCTGGTCCTTGCGCTTACGAGGCAGGCAGTGGAACCACTGAGCTAAATCCCTGGGCCCTCCTGCCACTTATTTTTGAAGTTAATTTTGTTTTCTTTTCCTTCTTTTGCTATGCTGGTGATAGAATGCAGGTCTTCATGCATGCTAAGTTCAAGCTGTACCACTGAGCTAAAACCCCAGCCTGTGGAAGTATATAACAACAACAACAACAACAACAACAAAATATATATATATATATATGTATGTATGTATGTATGTATGTATGTATGTATGTTTTGTTTGAGACAGGGTCTCGCTATGTAGTTCAGGCCAGCCTTGAACTCACTATGAGCCCAGATTGGCCTCAAACTCATGGTGATCCTCCTGCCTCAGCCTCCCAAGTGCTGGAATCATAGGTGTGTGCCTGGAAGTATATTTTTATTGTCTCCAAATTGATGGCCCTGTATTTATTGATTTGTTCTCCTTTCCATTCATTCAGCAAATACGTATCAAGTACCTGATGTTGCTAGAGATTATGTCTCCCCAGGGATTATGACATCCCTTCCTCACTTCTCTGAAGAGATCACATGTGTCTTCATTTCTGTTCCTTGTGTTTGCTCATGTGTGCCCATGGTAAAGATGCATCCAGCACAGTGGATGTGCAGGGAAATTAAGTTCACTGCCCCACCTCTTTCTCTGTTTCCCGTCCCCAGAAACAGTGATTGTTGCCGTGTCTTTGTTTCTCCTTCGAGGGTAGTCTGTCTTCGCATATGGTGTATATAAACACAAATACACATGTACATATAGACATGTTTTTTTCCTTTGGTACCAGGGATCAAACTCAGGACCTTGTGCTTACGAGGCAGGTGGCGGCACCACTGAGCTAAATCCCAGGCCCCATGTATTTTCATTTCATACATTTTAAGTTCTTGGGTCTAACGTTCTCACACCAGGACACCCATCCTTTGAGTCACTTCAGAAGTCAGGAGATGGCTCTCCAGCACCCCAGCCTTTCCGTCTTCCCCCTCAGCAAGAAACTGTTACCTTGATTTTTCTGACCTGCCGTGTGAAAAGAGGCTGCTGGTGTCTGTTTCCCAGGATGATCGGCACACTACCTTCTGGGGTGCCAGTCTCAGGCCCTCATCTCTTCCTTGTCTAGCCTTTTTCAGATCATGCTTGTGGGCTGGGAGGCTTTTTGGCTGCCTGCAGAAAAGTTTGGGCCACATCTGATGTGAGAGAATGGTTTCTTTTCCCTCCCTCACCCACCCTGTGCGCTGACACCCAGCACCAGGCTCCGTGCCTTGTTTCATGCCAGTGGAGCAGAGAGATGGGATTGAATGTCATGTTTGGGATTTGTCAGCAGACATCACCTGAAACAAATGGTACTATTATTTGGGTATCTTGTGACAGTGACACGTAGTACCTTTATAGCCACACACACATCAAGCATTCTTGTTTCCTGGTTTCTCCTTGGACTCCTCAACAGTGAGAGGGTGAATTTCCCAGGCACAGGCCACAAAGGGAGAATCCAGAAGGGACATGTGGGCAACACTGAGGTCCTGATGGGTACACCTCGCTCATGTGCTGGGAGCTTGTTGGGAGCTTATTTGCAGCAGTCCGGCCAGGGAGCTGGATTCTTAGCTCTGACAGGGAAGGGTGTCTGTGGCACAGAGACACAACACATGTGGACATTGGGGTCACCTGGAAGACTTCACTCTTAGTTTTTAGGTTGGTGCCTCTGGAGTTTTGGCTGGTGACTCCTAGTCCCCAGATACCTCCATAAGGAATCCAGCAAGTCATACTGCAGGGCTGGGCCACCCTGGCCCTCACAGCCCAGGGCCCTGGAACCCTGGCTCAGTCGGCACAAGAGTGTGATAATGAGGCACAGCCAGGGTTTGGAGGAAGCAGGGAGGGTGTAGGGTGGTTTCCAGGCAAGAGGAAGAGTTTATTTGTTCTCTGGCCCAAGGTCTTGTTGACTGGCTCTGTGCTCTGTTGTGACCTCCCGGTTTTCAGGAAGGACAGCAGGAAAGGCTGCTCACTGCTGTGATGGTGCTTGGTATTGAGCAGGCCTCAGGCTCCCCTTCCCTCCCCACATCTGCCTGCACGAGCTTCAGACTCTGGACAAATAAGGCAGCTCCCTCTCCCAGTTCTGTGCCCTACACAGTCTTGCCTCCGCCTTCACTCTCACTGTTCCCTCTCTGAATGTCCTCCTCTAAACCCTGCCTCTTTTTCAAGACTCAGCCCCCTGGCTTTTCTTCCAGGAGGCCGGCCTGGATCCTCGAAGATGGCTAGAGCCTATGCTTCCTCCTGTGCCTTGATCACATTGGGTCTCAAGGCCATAGCTCAGTGGTAGAATACATGCACAAGGTCCCAGATCTGAGCTCCATCACATGCACAAACTAATAATAATCTGGTGCACTTTATGTAAGTAGAGTGATTTATGTATATGAATTAGATTGTAAACTCTTGGAGGAAGACTTGGCTCTTTTGTGATCCCCACTCCAGCTCACAAGGATGACCAACCAGAGAAAGTTCTGCCTGCCACTGCCTGCTCGGTTCATTGGATACCCCCTGGTAAAGTTCTTTAGCAGAACAAACACAGAAGCCCTGTTTTTAGATAGTCCCACTCATCCTGGGCCCCGGGACACCTACGGTGTGTGAGGATCTGTCCCACTGTGGAGTATCCTGGATTGGCTGTGGAGGCGCTTCAGGCTGTGAGGGTGGGCGGTCCCAAGGCTAGCAGCCTCCATGGTGCTGCCCTGTGGAGCCTGCCATTGCCCTCGTTACCCCTCTGTCTCCATGCAGCTCGATGACCTGTACTTGATCGCTATCTGCCATCGCCGGGGAATCAGATCACTTCGGGACCTTACTGCAGAGCACCTGCCACTGCTCAGGAACATCCTCCAGGAAGGGCAGGTGAGTTGCTTCCCCAAGCCACAATGAAGTCCAGTTGTTACACTCAGATTCCAGTGTGTTCCCTGGGCCTCTTTCCTTACCCTTCCCAGAGTCTGTCCTAGAAATGGCTTTCTGAGGATGCCAGCCTTGAACCTTGTTAAGGCTTACTAGGTTGGTTCACAAGGCCCTTCATCCCCTGGTCCTGCTTGATCCTACAGCTCTATTTTCACCCATCTTTCCTAACTCCCTGCCTTTCTCTGCAGGTCCCATCTGGGATCCTCTCCCTCCTGTAGGCCAGTGGTAGCGAACCTATGGCACACATGCTGCAGCAGGCTGTTTGTATCATGGAATGCTCTAAAAGGTTCGCCATCACTGCTACAGACACATGTCCTCGAGTCCTGGCCCCTCCTACCCCTGTAGCTCTGCCCCTGAGGATCACCAAACTTGCTCTTGGCAAGATGATTTTCTGGAGTTTATGGGAACCCGACTTTGACTTGTGTATACAGCCAGGCATCCTTGTCTAGATAGAGGACAGGCTACATTCTGTAGCAACTGGCTTTTTGGGACACTTCCTATCTGGAACATCTGTTGAATGAAATGGAATGATAAGGGCACCACAAAGAGCCCTGGGAATAGGAGAAGATGGCAGAAGAGTGACTAGAATCTTGGATTGTGATCCTGGCCTGACATTTTTGCCCTAGCTAGGTAACTCGCCTAGGGCAAGTCAGTTCACCTTTGCAGACCTCAGTGTCTGATTGGAATCCCTTCTGAATCCACCGTTTCTACTCTGAAACATGAAGATTCACTACACACTTGTTGTTCTAGGGGCTGACAGTCACAAGGATGACCAAGCAGAGAGAGCTCTGCCCCTTTCTGGCCATTTCCCCAACACTGTCCCCTGACCTGGCTCCCCCTTCACCCAGCCAGCCAATGTCATCCCTCTCTGGCTGCCTTCATCTCTTTGGATCAACAACATCTGTCAGGAAGTAGCCTCTGGATACTAGCAATGGTGTCTTGCTCTTGGGGACACTGGGCCCACACTTCTCTGCTTGGGTAGCTTCACCCCTGTAGGCCAGCCCTGCTAATCCCAGGAAGCCCTTTCGTGTGCCCTGGCCTTGACTTCACCCTGTTGCACTGATCCCAGGGTTGAGCTCTACAGGCAAGTATGATTCTAAGATGTATTCTGAGCTCACTGAGGCCCTAGTCTTTTCTGCTTCTCTTTTGACTGCCTTAGGAATCTGACTGCAAGGGAGATCAGAGTCTCTTCTTTTTTTTTTTTTTTTTTTTTGTACTGGGGATCAAACTCGAACTGGGGTCCTTATGCTTGCAGGGCAGGCAGCGGAACCACTGAGCTAAATCCCCGGCCCTCAGGGTCTCTTCTTAATGTTAATAAGCCTTTGGGGCTCCTAAAAGCCTCCTGTTGAGCAGGGTGGAGATGGCACAGGAAACTGGGGCCAAAGTAAATGCTTTCTTCTTTCGAAAGGAGCCCAGCTGAGGTTTGTCTGGGGCAGCCTTTCCCATGCCCCTTCCCCCACCCTTTATCTTTTGCCAACTTCCGAGCACACCTCCATCTCCATTGTTTCCAAGCCTCATTCCAAGAGAAAGCAAGGCTTCCCCCACCTACCTCATGATTTACGGAGTGCTTTTAAGTTGTCCAATAGAAGGACAGACCCCACAATCACAGGAATCTGAGGCCTGTCCTTAGACACTGGCAAGCACTAACTAGATTACCATAGGAAGCCAGAGTTTGACCCAGGTTGGGATAAAGGAACCCTGACAGAGGCCACATCCCCCTCCTTTGGGGAAATGTTCCAGCTTTGATGCTGTCACCCACATTTGTTGATTTCCTAGAGTGGAAGACAAAAGAATCTGCAGCAAACAGTAAGCAGAAAGCCATTAGGAGGGTTTTCTAACTGTCTTGGGCTAATCTGGCTTAAGACAGAAGGTGACCCAGGTGGAAGATGTGGCCCTGGCTTGCCAGCAAGATGATAACCCTTTCTTACCACTCCCCTTCCTCACCAGGAAGCCATCCTACAGCGCTACCAGCTGACGGGAGACCGCCTCCGAGTATACCTGCACTACCTGCCATCCTACTACCACCTGCACGTGCACTTCACTGCCCTAGGCTTTGAGGCCCCTGGCACAGGCGTGGAGCGTGCCCACCTGCTGGCCGAGGTGATCGAGAACCTGGAGTGTGATCCTAAGCACTACCAGCTGCGCACTCTCACCTTTGCCCTCAGGGCTGATGACCCCCTGCTCAGGCTCCTGCAGGAGGCACGGCAGCCCTGAGTGTGTGTGGAGAAAAGGCACAGGTGCACAGCATTTGGGGCAGTGTGGCCTGGGTTTTTATCTCCAAGGTAGTTTTTAAAGATATATTTGTACTGGCTTGTTTCTCATATGTCAATAAAGTACCGGCTCATGGTTGAGGCCTGATCGCCTGGCCTGGGAGGGGCAGCAGGTGGGCAGAGCTGGTGGGAAGATCCGGGGAAGGGTAGAAAGTCTCAGAGTAACAGCTACAGGTGATGAGTGACAGCCACCCCAGGGCTTTGCCCACATCCCTGTGCTCTCCATGACTTTTGGTTTCCTGCCTGAGTCTGTGCCTCCCTGTTTGCACTCCTGGTGCCACATTCCTCCCCACCCCAAATGCCCTTTGGTGAGGTCCCAAAAAAAACCAAATTTGAAACTTTCCGGAAGTGGCCTTTAGAGGTATTGGATGCCACTTCCTCCTCTACTCTCCAGCAATGAGGCCACACCCTGCATGTGAGTCAACTCTTGATAAATGTTTTGAGAGGATGGGGGATTGATGCCTGGAAATGGGAGTGTTTTAATGAGAATCAGATGATGCAGCGCCAAATGCCTGCCTTTGCCTCTTACTTAGTCAGCCTGTGCTTGGCCTTCACTTCATTATCTAGGCAGGAAGACAAAACAGACTCACTTGGAGCAGCCAGAAGATAAGTGCAAAACAATGTTATCAGCAAGGGCAAAGTGGAGGGTTGCAGTTGAGTACGGAAGCTCTGAGTGGCCTTGGGCTCAGGGTGTGGTCAGCTCCATAGGTTCACAGAATCTAGAGGCCAGGAAGCACTGGGAAGTATCGAAGCCGATGACCAGATGTGGAGCCCATGGACTCATCTGGGAAGGGTGTCCCAGGAGGGCTCTCTCCAGCACAGAGAATAGTGGCATGAAACTGTCAGAGAGGGACCGCTGTTTGCTGCTTTATCAGGGTAGGGCTGAGGAAAACGTGCCCCGCTTAGGGAGCTCTCTATGGGGAGACAGGATATTGGGCTCTGAAGTGACACCAGGGGGAAGTGTGAGGCAGCGGGGTGGCTGTCACTCTGTATCCCCTGCCTCAGGAACCAGGAGGGCTGGATTCAGACCCTAGCTCCCTTGCTTACAGGTGAGGCCCTCAGATGGTGGCCTGGGTGTGGCACCTGCTGTAGACCCACACTGACCACTATGAACCACTAGAACCATAGTTGGTGGCCTAGAAAGAGCAGAGGGGTGGAGTCGGTGGTCAGAAAGCCCCCAAACCTGCTCTAGCCTCCAGCAAGTCCAGGTGAGACTTGACAAGGTGGCAGGTCCTCCAGTCCATCCTTCCCTGCAGCTCTTCAGTAGTCCCAGGATTTAGGTAGATAAAGCTGCGTGAAGGAATTGCCTCAGGAGGTGATCAAGGCAGGTGGCTCTATCCAAGATGCAGTCAGCCAGATCTACTCATGGGCTTTCTGGATCTAAAGGAAGTACCTTGTGGGCAGGGCAGGCCACTGCTGGGTGCTGGGGGCAGGAGGCTGACCTGAGATCTTCTCCCAGAGCAGTTTCCAGCGGGCAGGCTGCTCTCTGGGTCTGAGTTGCTCCTCTTCCATGTACCAAGAGAGAAAAGTGATGTTTCCCCTCAGAAAGCAAATGGCCCTTACAAGCAAGTCCCAGCTCCTCCAGCATTCCAGAGGCGCCCAGTGTACACTCCCTGTGGAACAACCGCACCCCCTCTGCCACATCCCATATCCCCACCCCAACCCCAACTGTGCCACCTGCTGGGCCAGCAGCAACTGATGGCTAGGTGCATAAACCCGTGGGAGGAGCAATGGGCCAGACCAGGTTAGGGGGACAACAGTGAGGGGAGGAGGGGTCTGGTCTGGAGAGGGAGGAAGAGCCTTCCCAGGGCCCGGTTCCAGGCAGACAGACTGTTACACGGGCAGCTTCCCGGTGGCCCTGTGGCCTGGCCAATTCCGCCTTCCTTTTGGCTCATTCTGGGAGGAGGGGCCTCTGAAGTAGTGTCCTCTCCACTCCTCCCCCGCCTCTATCTTCCCAACGGCGTAGAAGAGTCTCCTCTCAGGCCTCAGACTTAGTTTTCTGTGTATAGTTGGAAGGACAGGTCTCTGTGTGAGCTCCCATCACAGCAAGCATCTGCAGAAGCGTGGCTGCCACTCTGTCCCTAGGCTAGAACACAGCCCCTTTGCTCTCAACCACCCCAGGGCCTCATCCCAGGCAACCCACACAGGGTTGCCACTGTGCCGAGTACGGTGCTGTCCAGGCCCCAGAAGCACACTTCCGTGTCTTGCAGGGTGGTCCTATCTGTCTCCAGCATGACTTGTCCAGGTAGCTTTGGACGCCTCTGGCTCCTGCTCATAACTGTTAGTTTGTCTGCCTTCCCCACTCGACTGAGAGGGCCTAAGGGGAGGAGGTTGTTTTGGTCATTTCTCTCCCCAACACCTGGGATGCTGTCTGGCTGACAAATTGATTATAATACTTTACATAATTTCACTGGACCTTCGGCCTTGTTCCATTTTACAGATAAACAGCTCTGGACACCTTGTCCAGTATGTTCCGGGATGGATGTCAGCTCCAGGAAGCAGAAACTTCCCAGCCTTTGTTCACTGTTTATCCAGGTTCTAGGGTAGCAGCTTGCCTGGAATACATGTTCAGTAAAAAGTGGGTGCAGGAGTGGAGTTGGGCTCTGAATCCAGTGCTTCTACTTCCTGGGCCACCCCTCGCTGTCACTTCAGAGCCCAACATCCTGCCTCCCCAGAGCCTCCTGAGCACGAGACGTTGTCCTCAGCCTTGCCCTCACCCAGCAGCAAACGATGGCCCCTCTAGCAGAGTGATGCAACTATCCTCTGCTGAGGAGAATACCCTCATGGGCAGATGTCATCCCTCCTCGCCAAGCCCTGCATGGTTCCACAAGTGGCCTTTGGCCCCCAACACTGATCTGCTGTCTACGTGGTGTGGCTGGAGAAGGAAAGCAGCAGTTGGGAGCATGGCTGCTCTTCTTTCTTGGCTTTTATCCATTTGCCCCAAAGTTTTCTAACACAGCAAAAGTGCTCTGTGAACACAAAATCGAGAAGACAAACTTATTCAAACTGTATCCTTCATGTTCCTGTTGAAACAAGGTCCTCAATTTGAAAAATCAAAACAATTGCAGCCAGGTGTGGTGGTGCACATCTGCAGTCCCCATTGAAGGAGGCTGAGGCAGGAGTATCACCATGAGCTGAAGGCCAGCCTGGGCTACATAGTGAGTTCAAGCCAGCCTGAGCTACATAGTAAGACCCTGTGTCCAAAAAAAAAAAAAAAAATTACATGCAAACTAATATTTGAAAATGTTTCCCTTGTAATACATCCTAACCTAAAACATTTGAATCCAGTCTTCCCTCAGTATCCCAAGTCTGGTTCTGGGACACACCACCCCCTTGCCAAAACCCTTGGATGCTCAAGTATCTTGCGGTATATTATGCACATGTAACCTATGCAGGACCTCTTACATACTTTAAATCACCTACACATTACTTATTTGTTTTGTTTTTTCGTTTTTGTTTTTCGGTACCGGGGATCGAACTCAGGACCTTGTGCTTTCGAGGCAGGAGTGGCACCACTGAGCTAAATCCCTGGCCCACCTATACATTACTTATAATGCCTAATACATTGAGCTTTAGACTCATAATACACAATGGAGTCCATGGTGGCTTAAGCCAGATAGGCGTTAAGCCTGTAATTTTTCAACTAGATAATTTAATTGGCAAATGAAAACTGTATACTTGCTATGCTGTATTGTGTAGGGATTTATGTCAAGAAAAACTACATGTATCGCTTCTTGGCCTTTTGGCTAAGATCAAATGTAAGAAAAACTACATGTTCAGTACAGATACACACAAATGCTAGGCGAACACTGCACCACTGGGCTACCTCCCCTGCTCTTCCGTGTTTTTGGAACCCATGCAGCTAGAGAGTTGTGTGGTTTTCTCCACATAGGTTTGCTATCTCTTCCTCCAGAAGGATCATTTTTTATTCCAAACATTATATCATTTTATAAAATGATAATTAATGATAGTTGTTTTTAAGTATCCTGACAAATGTTGGCAACCCTAAATTTGTTTTATCATCATTAGTGAAATTATATTGGGGAATCTGTGTCAACTTGAAGTTACCAAGTAAACACTGTTAGCAGGGACTGAATCAGTTTAAAGTGTTTCAGTTTCAATTCAGTCTAATAAACAGATTTTGAGTATCAACCCTGCTTGCTTCTTTTCTTTTTCCCATTTTTGCAAGAACCTAGACTTAGGTAGGGCTCATATAGAACTTATAATTTCATAAGGAATACAAAGTAATGATGAAATAGTGAGTACCTAGAAGGAGTAACGCATCCATGGTAGTTTACACCAAAGAGGAGCTAAACCTGTAATATTTAAAACTACTATTAGCCAAGTGTGGTGGCCCATGCCTGTAATCCTAGCACTTGGGAGGCTGAGGCAGGAGGATCACCATGCATTCAAGGCCAGTCTGGGCTACATAGTAAGTTCAAGGCCAGTCTGAATTACATAGCAATACCCTGTTTCAAAAAATCAAAAAAACCCAAACAAACAAAAGCTACTTTTTTTGGTACTGGGGACCTTTGTTTGGAACTCGGGACCTTGCAGGCACCAGAACCACTGAGCTAAATACCTGACCCTCAAAAGCTACTTTTTTTTTTTTTTTTTGGTACCCAGGGATTGAACTCCGGTCCTTGCTCCTGCACAGCAGGAGGCGAAACCACTGAGCTAAATCCCCAGCCCTCAAAAGCTACTTTTAATGAACAAAAATTGCCTGTATCTATGGTATACAATGTGATGTTTTGATACACGTGTACAGTAGAATTGCTACATTAATTAACTTATGTATAACCTCACATTACAAGCCATTTTTTTATGATGACAATGTTTAGAATTTCACCAAGTAATTTTCAAGTGTGCAATACATTGTTATTAACTATAGTCATCATGTTGCACAATACATCTCCTGTCCAACTGAAAGTTTGTATCATTCGATCATCTGCCCAGGCCAGCCTGGCCAGCCCCTACCGTCCACCTTTGTACTCCGTTTCTGTGTTTGACTTTTTAAGATTCCACATAAAAGTGAGATCATACACTTTCTTTTTGTGCTTTGGGCCAAAACCTGATAATCGTTAGCCAAAGAGCAAGCACAAGCAGAGCTCACAGTCAGGGAGACTTCGTGTTGGTATGGCTGGGAGTCAGCTAAGCTTGTGGCATGGGACGGGCACTACAGTGACAGTACTAGGCAGTTTTTCAGAGCTGGGATGAAGAAATGATGGGCTGGCTGAAACTCAGTGGTAGAGTGTCACCTAGCGTACAAAAGGCCCCTGGTTTGATTTCCAGCACTGGGGCAGTGGGGAGACAAGCAGCTAAGGCTAAGGGGAAATTTCCTAATGGTCTGTTCCTTCTCTGCTGGTATTTGAGCTGGACTTGGCATCATAACCAAGTATGATTTCTGTCCAGTTACACAGCTGCTCATGAAATAGGAGTGATAACAGTTTCTACCCCAGAGAGGTTTATGAGGGTTAATAGGATTTTGTGAGATGCGGTACTCAGTATTAGCAACTCTTTTCCTGCTGTGTAAGTGACCAAAATGGATGTAAAGAGATATTTTTTTGGTTAGATACATGCTATAGCCTGAATTTGTGTCCCCTTAAAATTCATATGTTAATATCCTCCCAGTGTGATGGTATTTCTCCTTGGGAGGAAAAAACAAATGATAGGCAGCCTCTAGAATGGTTAGATACAAATCTCTGATATTTATAAACCACACAGATGGATGGGATTTAGCTCAGTGATACTGCGCTTGCCTTGCAAGCGCAAGGTCCTGAGTTCTATCCCTGGTACCAAGAACAAAACAAAACAAAACACATAGCCTATGGTATTTTGTTACAGCAGCTCAAGTGGATTAAGATAATACTAAAAGTAAGTGAAAAAAGCCTGTAAGCACCTATACTATGCAGTGGAGGCATCGCAGCCGAAATTTTAAGAAAAAAAAGCAAGCCATAAACTCTGTGCTTAATTGATTTGTGGCCCTAAACAGAGCTGGGGGCTGCATGCAGGGATTTCTCAAGATCTTCTCTGGCCTGAAGGTTGCTGGAATGTATTTTAGACTTGGCCGACAGGCAGGTTTCTAACAGCGACAGTGATGTCTCTTGCATTTGAGAGCCCTGGGAACAGCTCAGCTCCATGGTCCAGCCATAGAGATCTGATAAAAATAGGAGCTGAAACACTATCCTGGAGTTGCTATTTTTAAAAGCATCTGAGATGCTGGATTGGGTTTATTTCTTCCTCAAACGGCATCTTGCTGTCCCCTCCTCCTGTTGGGCAGGATGTTAATGTGGCACATCTGAGGGACAGGAGCCAGGAGCCTGGGAGGCACATTTGTCAAGTGGTTCCATGGCTGCTGCCCACACCCACAGCCTGCCAGGGAGGAGCTGCAGGTCCAGGGCCTCCCAGGTTTAGGTGCACCTGGCTGACACACCTCCTTCTCTGTCTCCTCCCTCTGCTCCCAAGGCTCCTCGGGTTGCCCCAGCAGAGAGGTGTCCTGCATGTCGTCCACCGGAAAGGTAAAAGGCAGGCAGAGGAAGTAGGAATGGAGGTGGTATTGCTTGGAAGTGGACTAGGACTCGGACCTGTTGTTCCTTAGGTTGTCTTGGCCTGCTGTCAGCGCAGCTAGCCTCGGAGAGGAAGAGTCCACAGGAGTCAAAGCACTGCTTGCCCTATTATATGCCTCTTGGTAAGCAGCTTGATGCTTGACGTGTCCTGTAGATGAGCCAAAGGGGTGCAGTGGCATTGGGAGGGGCTTCAGAACGCAGTGCTTGGGATAAGAAAGCACCAGAATCTCTGTCTTGCCCTGCAGATGGTAGGGCTTCTAGGCAGCCAGCTAACTTCCTGCTGTGCCCTTAGAAATTGAAGGGAAAGGACATCAGTGAGCACACTGTGGCCTGAGGGGAGGAGATTAGAATTAGTAAGTTAGCTTCTGGGCACCTAGGAACCAGGCCTGTGATGAACTGGGGAAGGGGAAACTTGAATACAGTTTGTAGTTAAAAAGAGGTATTCTACCTGGATGATGATAACACGGTTATATATAGCACCTGCTTTGGGGACAAATTCATATTCACTGCTTCACTTAATACCAAAATAGCCCTTTGAATAAGCTCAGTTATTTCCATTTTTTTTTCAACGCGCGCATTGTTTTGGTTGTTTTTTGTTTTTTTTTTTTGGTACCAGGGATCAAACTCGGGTCCTTGCTCCATTTTTTTCCTAGTAAGAAAACTAAAGTTATTTAGTAGGAGAGGCAGGGTTGGAACTCAGGTCTCCAAAAGTTGGCTCCTGAGTTTGATTTTCTAGCAAAGTAAAATTTACATGGTTCTTAGCAAGAAGTCAAACTGCATTTAGATCTCGTTCATCAAAGACAGCCAGGTTAGGAGGGTGATCCATTCTTGGATCACCACTGCCAGACACACTAATCACTTAGGGCAGCTGCTTTTCTCTCTGGGCCAGTTTTCTTTCCTTCTGTAGAACAGGGATCTTCCTTCTTCTCAACTTGCCCAAGGCAGGGACTTAGTCATTGTGTTCCCATACCTAGTTCAGGGTAGTTCCAGACCTCAGCATGTTATGCAATAAATATTCACTGACTGAAATGTCTAGTCAAAGGCACCACTCAATATCAAGTTAGGCACTGGTGTGCGTGTGCAAGGTGTGATTTAGGGTGGATCACAGTCACCTATGGGAGAAGAGAGAGGCTGACTCTTCGCTTTGTTTTGGCAGAGCTAGCGAGTTAGGGGTTAGCTGATGAGACCTCCCGCTTCAGCTGAAGAGGAATTTAGACTTGCTCTCAAGCATTCACACCTTGCACTTAGTCACATTCTGGCCTGCTTTATTCTTGCAGGGAGTCCAGTGCAAGCCCTCTCTCTGCAGCTGGAATGGTAAGCTTCCTGGTGACGGGCAGGGTCTGACACATGCCCTGGAGCCCCTTGTGCCCCTAGTCCCTGGACCTTTCACGGTGGACCCTCTGTAAACGCTGTGCGGCCCTGAAAGAGACGTCAAAACCGTCCTGCAGGGTCATTTCTGCACTCTGCTCCTTCAGCCAGGTCAGCCCCAGGTTCACCTGAGGGATGCCTTTGACCAAGCTCAAGGGCTTGATGGGGTTTCCCCTGGAGGCAGATTCCAGTGTCCTCCCTAAGAGAAACAGAGGCTTCCGTCTGCCAAAACGTGGTCTGCAAGGGAAGTGTGGAGATGGTGCAGTGTAGGGGTAGCATGCTGGTCCAGACCGGGGCAGAGGGCAGACCCACAACCCCCCAGGGCAGCTGGCGCCTTGACCTGGAGAAGAGGAAGGATGGTTCTCTGAACAAGGTCCTGTCTCCCCCGTGCCTCGGTTTCTCCAGTGGGAGGACACCGCTCGCTGCGTGGGAGAGCCAAGAACCCTTTCTTGGGTCTCATTGTTCCGCGAGGCGGGGAGGCTGCGCTGGTGGACCCCCTCCCGGCACCGCGCGCGGCAGCCTCCCTCTGCCCCAGCTCGCCTCGGTGCCTCGCAGGTCCCCGCCCCGCCTCGCCCGCGCGGCAGCGCCCCCGCCCTTCCTCCTTCTCCCGCCCTCCCTCCCTCGGCTCCAGGAGTCGGCTCCCCGGACGTGTGCGCAAGCGTGTCGGTCCCTTCCCCGCCCCGCCGGCCGCTGGGCCCCCGCCTCCCCGGCAGGCGGACTTGCCCGCTGCCAGGCCGGCCCAGCGCCCGGGACAGCCACGGGTGGAGCGGAGCCCGTGCGCCTAGCGGATCGGAGCCGCGCACGGAACTGCCCTGCCCCGCCCCGCCCCACCCGCCGGGGTGAGTACGCGGGCCCGGGCCAAAGGGGCCGCGGTGGGGGGCGGCCGCCCCCGGCCTCGGCCCGCGACGCGGCTCCGGGAGGTGGTCGGGCCCGCACGTGGGCGCTGCGCGGCTCCGGGCCGGGTGGGGCGGCCACAGCCTGCAGGACTGCTGCTGCGCCGGGTTCCTGTCCCCGGACCAGGTTTTCGCGGGAAGCCCGGTTCTCCTAGCTGCCTTAGAGTGAGCATTCAGGACAGTCCTGTTCCCAGGAAAGTTTCTACCCCCATCCTGTGCCTGGGGTGAAGAGGCGTCCCCCTTCCAGCATCCGCTGAGCGTTGGGTGCCCCCACAACTGTCCCCATCAAGTCTGGGACATGTGGGCTGGAGGTGACACGCTCGGC